TCTCTCTCTCTCTCTCTCTCTCTCTCTCTCTATCTATCTATCTATATATCTATCTATCTATTTCTACTTCTCTTTCTCTCTCTATCTCTGTTTGTGTATATGTGTGTGTTTGTGTGTATGTTTGTGTGTGTGCTCTTGCTTGTGTTTGGATGAATGTGTGAATGTGAGCGTTCACATAATATTATGTGCTCAAATCCTGTGTGTGTGTGCCTTGGAGAATTAGAGGGAAATCGCAATTTATCTCTGTTTGTGGGTTTTCCTGGTTTGCTTGCTTGTTTGTTTTGCTGTTAGGGTGGGGGTTGGGGGAATGAAGGAGTTTGTTTTTATTTATTTTTTTATTTATTTATTTATTTATTTATTTATTTATTTATTTGGTAATGAGTAATTTATTATTCTTATTTCCTTGCAATAAACAGAGACTTTTGTTAATTTTAGCCTCTCATAACGAAACAAATGTGTCACTCTCAGCTGAGTATGTTCTAATTTTCTTTCCTAACACTGTTAATTAATAACGACGATGGAAGGTAGTGCCAGGTTGTCATCATGAAAAAGCTCAAGATGTAATAATCACATATACATGTATTTGGTTTTCCTGTCTCCGAATTTTTCAGCAGTACAACATTACTTTCTAATATTAATAATCTAAAAGCCACCAAGCTAAGAATTTGTCTCTCTCAACACTTATTCCCCAGAGTGGATCAACGTGGTTTTGGCCTTGGTAGGAAGGTTTGGGGCGTCAGCGGCATTCGCCGTAATCTACATCTACTCCGCGGAGCTGTTCCCAACTGTCATGCGTAACTCTGGCATGGGGGTCAGTTCAGTCTGCGCCAGGATAGGTGGGATTTTGGCGCCCTTTGTCGGAGACCTGGTATGTTCTGCATTATGTTATTATATCGTCAGCCAGCTGTTGAAATGTACTAAGCCCAAAATTTTGGATTTCTTTTTAAATTGCAGTTTCTTAATCTGAGATATTTGTTACATGTGCTCAAGAAATGTTTTGTCAAAATTTAAATTCTACATGTTGAAAAAAAGCAAGAAAGAGTATACAATCTAGGTAGAAATGGAAAAACTCTTTTTTTTCTCTCTCTTCGATGAAAAATTTTGCTTTCTGTTTTCTGGGCTTAGCGAATTTTAACTCTCTGCCAACTATATGGATTTCTTATGTTCTGTATACATTGTGTATTGGAAAAATGGATAAGCCACGAGTAGACTTGAGGGCCAGAATTTTGTCTAAATCATAATATTACGTTCACTGGTTTAGACATACCAGCCTCAATCATGGCAAGCACCATCATCTTTATTAATGCATGTTTCATTAAAAACCACTCAGCAAAAACCAAAACAAATCAAATGTTTGTCATGTGAGAAACTGACTAGTCAGTGATAAGGCAACCCCTAAAGATACATCATCTTAACAAACTCAACCTTGGATGAATTGATCATTCAGTTTTGTTGCAGTATATAAAACGCTGCATTAGAATTATTCTATTTGACTTTTGGTCGTTTTGAGTTACTGAGACAATGAGGTTCTATCTGCTGCTCTATCAAAAATGGTAAGATTATTCGGTGTCGTTTATCAATATATTCAAAGAATTGCATTCGAAACAGCTTGACATGTTTCTGAAACTCAAAAATTTTTTAAGTTAAATTTCTCAAAGCTAGATAGCGCTACCGAGCAGGTAGAACTTTGTAATTTTAGGGCACCAACACGGAGCCGCCGTGAACAGCCTAAAAAATATTAGAATAGCAGACCTAATGGGAGGTAAATAATCATATTTTACTAATTACCCGACACTCAGAGTTTGTTCTCTTAGTCGATTCTCGCTGGATTTGTCGGGTCAAATTATAATTAATCCTTCTCTCATGTCATGGATACGACGCAGAGCAACTTTGAAGCTATTGTTTTGGAGTAAAAAGTTTCCCCTGTGTGTGGTGACATACCTTACTTTAATTTGGTCAGTCGCTTTTACTCCGGAAAGTGATGTGGGGAGAGAGGTTTCTGTCTGCTTTAAAACTCATCCGGGGTAATACTAAACATATTATTGATGTATCAATCACTAATGAAAACAACACTGTTGCACGTTTTGCCGGTGTGTTTGTACTTGCAGTGCAACCACAGCAGACAGAGTTATTTGTTTCCATCTTTCTTTCCACTGCGTCTTCTCCGAAAGTGTAGGTTGCAGGCTTGATAAGGTTTTCTAAAAAAGCTTTGAAATCAAAAGAGCTTCTTTGGAAATCGCTGCCTAAATGCCTATAAAGGAGATCGTGCAATTAAATGATGTTTCCACACGTATGTCTCCTCACTCTTTTTATATTTTTTTCTTTGGTTAGAGTGCCATCGTCTTTCGATGTTATGGATAGAGTATAAGAGAGAGAGAGAGAGAGAGAGAGAGAGAGAGAGAGAGAGAGAGAGAGAGAGAGAGAGAGAGACAATCCGGGTGCCAAAAGTCACCTAGTCCTCTTTGTTAATTAGACCTGGTTGCAGAATATGAGTACACACTTTACAATAACTATTTTCGTCTGATTACAGCTCCAGGCACTTGACATCAATGCTAGTACAAATTCATATACAGGCTGATTTTACGACGCGATACTTCAGAACTCAAGCATCCTTATGGAATGAGCCAGTAACCATTTGAAAGAGGCGCTATCTAATCCCCATTGGCATTAATTTGATGGTTCGAGCTTTTATAGATTTACAAATTGCCCCAGCGATGGACTGGTCGAATAGGGGACCAAGACCTAGCTCTCTGCGCTCAGCATGGCAGATCCCCAGACCCCATCGAGCATGATTTTTTTTTCTTCTGAAAACGATCTTTAGACAGAGAAATAGAAAGGCGACCTCAAACGGTCAACACCGTCACCTATCAGCTCAACTCCTTCAATCTCATCGAAACATCTACATTGACACAATTAGAGACAGAGCTTATCTTTTCAAAAATTATACCAATATTATTTTGGGCACAAAGTAAAACCTATGAAAGCAAAATCACTGCATGCGAGATGAAATGTCACAAGAAGAAACAGGCAGGGAAATAAAGAAGACCAACTATTGGTATAGAGTCCTGCCAGCAGTTCATAGAAAAATAAATTAGAATAAAATTTGTTTGACCACCTGTTACAAAGGTCACCTAGCCAGCTAGCCTCAAGAGCCTATAACACCAAGTACTTAGGCTAAAAAGGAAGCGGTAAGATAGACTGAGGGAGTCATGGTAACTCTGAGAAATTATAACATCTCAGTTGAAAGAGCCGCCGAGGTGGCCTACCATAGAAAACTGCCTCTCCCCTTCACACTTAATCGCAACATAGGATGAAAAAATAGAACTAAAGTTTAATAGACCATGCCTGTCAACATTGCACATGTGCAACTCCCCAAAATGGTGGATGTTGAGAAACACAGAGTAAGAAAATATCAAAGATGAAAGAGAATCAACACCTTATGAAGGTTCACCGTGAAATCAGTTGGCATCATGCTTTACTACAGAGCACAATGATGGCCTTGGTTCGAATCCCAAACGGGACGTTCTGAACTTGGGTTGTTTTCCTGAGTTTTTAAGGCGTTCCACCAGTTTCGTTGGGTCCTATCGGAGATGAGGGATGAGGGGGTCAAATTCGGAGGCCTCTTAAATACCGGTAACCTTAAAGTGTTGATAGGAGCGTTAAAGCTATACAATGACCAACAATGACACATTTGAAACATCCAGTCATTCTATTACATAGTTTTCCTTTTGTATTTTGACCCCAAATTCTACTTCACGTTTGTTCCCCAGGGATCAGTTTTGGAGGGGGATATCGCAGTGGCTCTGCCCTTGATCGTCTTCGGAGGTCTATGCCTGACTGCCGGCCTGTTGGATTTGTTACTGCCAGAAACACTGAACAGGAAGCTCCCAGACACCGTCGAGGACGCCAAGAATTTCGGCAGGTCAGTGGAGTTGAAAATAAGTAAACACTTCAGCAGCGTACGGCTCCAATATTCTCCGGATAGGTAATTCCATATTGGTCAAAGCTTGCTTATTCTTTTAAGATTGAAGCCTCATTGGGAATCATGTTTTTGCTTCCACATTTCCAAGACCATTTTTATTCAGAGTACATTGGGGCAAGCTCAATTTGTTCTTTTTTCTTGAGGAAGGGCAAGCTTTGTACCAGTATTTTAATTTTCAAGTAAGAAACTAAAGAAGTACAATGTACTTGATAATTTATTGAAAGTTGGGTTTTTTTATTCTTGTTCACAGCTTGATATGCTATATTGTTGCTTCGAGAAAAATCGTTGTCAACGCACAAGTATAAATGACTTGTGTAACGTATGTTGCCCATCGGGAAGAAAACAATAGTAAATATTGTTCATTTAGTGTAACAGCATTCCACTCAGTTGTGAGTATCATGCACGTACACATTTAATTCACTTTGTAACGATGAAAATTACTCAAATAAATATTTACATTACATTACAACATTAGTTCAAAAAATCAAAATATGGCAGCATAAGAATAAAAGTTTAATCCAAAAAGAATTGAATGTGCATGTTATAATATTACTTCTCGACTTTCATCTTATACATCCTCTTGCATTTCTTTCAGAGAATCTTCAAAGAACGCAAATGAGCTCGAAGAGACCGGAGCTTCAGGGAAAAAAGAAAAAATGAGTAATGGCCACATAAACCCTACGTTCACTCACATAGATGTAGTTGAGTAAACTTACTTTGGGATAACAATCAAACACTTAATCGCATCATAATATGAGGTTTAGTTCTTAATATCAATGTATTACGGGACCTCGGGCACGACACAGCTTACTAACTTGAATTAAAGTAAATAGAAATACCCTTTTTATCAAGGAACGAACATTTATTTGGTTTCAAACAAAGTTTTACGTTGATTTTCCGTATTGTGACTGAAGTTGGCTCTGTCCCTCCCTCGTGCCAAACTTGTCTCGTGCCACAAAACTCGTGATTAACCTCCCCTTATCCGCGGGGTTGCCAGATTGGTTTTTTAATTTTTAAAGAAAAAAAAAAGGGGGGGGGGGTAAGTATCTATAACATCATGTGAAAATGAAGGGGAAAAAACGGACTCATGTGCAAATTGTGTCATGGTTCGTGAAGAAAACTTATCTGGGAGAATCTCTATGATTGCTTTCACTTTAGTTTTAATAGGGCGCCCTCCATTCTGTGGTTTGGGTGGACTAGTGGACAGGCTGTAAAGCACGAAACCTGAAATGTCGTGGGCTTGAATCTCATCAAGGGTCCGACGTAGTGTCCTGTCCTTGGGAAAGGCACCTTACATGGATTTTCCTCACTTCACTCAGCTATAAACAGCGAAAGATTTCGCCAGTTTTTTGGGGGGGCCTTTGGGCGCCTAAACAGCCAATTGCACTGTATGCTTTCCAGGAAGCCAAGAATGTTGTTGGATGTTCCAGGGTTTGCTAGGATAATACTTGTAATATAATACGTTGTAAACCGCGTAGAGCAGGCCCGGGCAAGCGTGTCCAAGTCGCGGCCGGATTAAGCGATTCCAAGTAGGCCTATTATTATCTCGCAGGTCAAAGCAAGAGAAAATTCAATTAGAGTGAAATAAAAGAAGTAGAACCTACTAAACGTACCCTCCATTGTGTACAGAGAACAAAAATGGCTAACCTAAATCCGTACTGTCACCAAGTGACGAAGCGTCTGTATAATCAAATAATCACTGCTTCCCTTCCTAATTTTGGAATCTCGTCGCAGTCAAATTCCCCCATAAACGTAGACACCATACATTAAATATAAACAGACGTTTGTAATCACCAATTAACAATATGCCTATGCTTATGTATGTATGTAGTATAGGGTTTTACGGCGCTCGCAACTGCTAAGGCCATATGAGCGCGCGAAACACAAGTTGTTTATTTTCGCAAAAGTTCACAACACGATTGGTCAACTAATTTACTTTAAAATGCTAAAATGTTAAAATATTAAAATTCAGTGTAAATATATTTGTGATTTAAAACAAGGGCCTATGCTTAACATTCAAAACTGTTTCATAACCACGCAAATACCCTCCTCACCCTTTTCGGGCCACTCATAAGCAGTCACAAGCTTTGATTATGTAAGCTAAAAGTGAGGCTGGAAGAGTCTACCAAAAGATTTGAAAAGAGCATGTGCACAACTCTCAAAACCGTTTCATTGCCACATAATAATATTATACCTTGTTCATCTCTTTCCGGCCACTCTCATAAGAAGTCACACGCTCTGATTATGAGAGCTAACAACTACACTGGTCTTGTCTACTTCACGGTGGTGAGGAGAATAAACGCTTAATAATCTCACGACTGCTGTGAGTGCTTTTTTCATCGACTTGTTACCGTCCTTTAGGCCTAATCAGATCGGGGATTCGATTATTACACCAGCTCCTGGTCGCAAAAGGTTAGACAAAAACAGCCAAATTTGAAATAAAAAATTGAGAATTGTCTTGTATTAGTTGCAGTATTGAAATATCTGTTTCTTTGCTTTTTGTTTGTGTATTCACTTATAGGGTTGAATTAAGTGTTAGTAGGAATATACATTTAATGAGATAATTTCCCGATTATTTTGGCGGTTGAATATACAATATGAATTCAGGATTTGTTTTCATTTACAACTTAGTGTTGTCGCCTCGAGTTAGAATTCCTGTGTGACATCTCTGTTTGATTCCTTGTTTCACTTTGATTACCCTGTCAAACCTGTCAGCCTTCGCCCTTGCTGTCACCTATGATAATTATGCATTGATGCTACGTGCAAAATGGTATTTCCTTACAGAGTAGTGCTGCCAAACATGGAACCTTTTGTCCTGTTCACATAAATTCAGCATTCAATTTGTCTAATAAGAACTCAGACAAAGCTATTTAATTCTCCTTGTACTGTCACAAGACTTCCTCTTTTCAATAATGAAAAGAACCTCACAAACCATTGCTACTGTGTAAAATTAACGTGAACGGCACGAGCCTGACACCTACCTAGAGTTCTTCATCTCAGCGTTTTTATACTCCATTGGTTAACATTTCCAGATTGTAATTGGCAGGTCTGGTAAGTTTTTTTGTTTTTCAAAAAATAAAATGCTCACCAGTTCCGGGTTAAACAAAAAAGGTAAAAGTTCAAATTCGAACTAAATCAGTATAATGTTGAGACATTGGCTAAAATATAAATGTCTTCAATATGCTCCCTGTTTTCTCTCATACCATATATTGATGCCCTCGGTCTATCTAGGTTATTTGTCGTCTCTCTCGACAGCATTTGACACCTGCATGTACAGAGCAACTAACACAACGCTAAAACGTTCTCTGCGCAGAGTGTTGAAATATCTTCTGTTGTATGTTGTTGCTTTTTTCAGCAATTTTGCTTCTTTTCTAAAGTTTAATTCTTTCATCTCTTCATAAACCAACTGAACTTTAAAAAGAAAGATGTGTCGTGTTTATGGATATGTCTTTGTAAATAAAAACATTTTCATGCAAAATGAGTGTGTGTTTTGATAATCTATTGTATTTACTGCACATCATTATACTTGTTTTTAATTTTCTTCTCTCTGTTTCCCACCAATGATAGCTAGAACACTCTATTCAACTTACAAAAATCGCCTTCAACATCCCACGGCCATTTTTGTAGATGTCACCATTGGTGCTGTCCAAAAGTGTTTGCTTCATCCTCAAATAATAACGGTTAAAGGGTCTGTTTTATACGGTACAAACGTTTCCTCGTGCTTTTATATACAAAATTCTTTCCTCCTTAAAAGCAGTATTATACATGCACTTGTTTAAACATCGTCACTGGCATTTTAGAACGTTATAACACAAATTTCAAAATGAAGGAGTGAACTTTCGTATGGTGTACAATCTTTGGTACCAATGCTGGTATAGATTTTCTACTCTCTTCGAAGCTGGTGTAGTTTAGATTCTTTCTCATGTACCTGTTAGTTCAGAAAAGCTGCTCTTCAACTAACAAGCGATTTCTTATGATCATAATCGCTTAACGTGCCCATCGAAACGGTATAAATCAAAATAATAAGAAACTTCCTTCGATCCGACCTGTCAGCAACAACCCAGACTGAGAGGATAATACATCACCCCAGCAGGAAGACAGAACTTGACGATTAAATAACTTTCCAACCCCGGAATCGAACTCGAGTTTATTTTTGCGTTAAGATTGACGAGCCTAAACATTGCGCGACTTACAACCTGTTAAACAAGAAAGGGTTTTGAGCCTTACGCACACTCATATAGAAAGTCCAAGTCCAGTTTGGCGCTCTTGATACGAGACAACCAGATGCTTGATCCTTTGCTAGAATGGTTATAAAATCTGAGAAATTAATTAAAATAGCATACACTGCAAACAACACAAGCAAAAAAAAAAAAAGAAAGAAAAAGGAATATGGACAATACATTTGAGCTAACGATACCCTCCCCAAACCACACACACATAAACATACAGCTACAGATTATAAACATTATTATCAACAATAACTATCACACTTTACTCTGTCTGTTTAACCAAGTGCCAATGTTCTCTAGTCTTTCTTGACCCCTTTTTCGAAACCATAATGTTATTGGGTACACAATTTAGTTGTATGTAGTCTCCGTGACTGTCTGTTATGCGGGAATGGCAATCTACACCGTGCAGCCCCTTTTTGACATTGGGCAATGTCTGTTATACTCGTAGTTATGAACTTCAAGGCAGCACGAAAGCCGATGCTAATGTTCGCTACAGGCCTTCGAGCACATTGAGAGGTGGTATGCGTGTGTGTGTGTGTGTGTGTGTGTGTGTGTGTGTGTGTGTGTGTGTGTATGGGTGTTTGTGTGTGTTTGTGTGTGTGTGTGTGTGTTTGCGTGCGTGCGTGTGTGCGTGTACGTGTGCGTACATGTGTGTGTGTGCGTGTGCGTGTGCGCGTGCGTGCGTGCTTGCTGTGATGAGGCGAGGCGTTAACGGCATCTAGACATGGATAGCTGATGCCTCTATAAATTAGTAGTAATGCTTTCAACCAGTTGTCTTTCAAATTTAAACTGGTTTAAATCTCTAAGGTTAAACCTAATTTAATTTGATTTGGTAATTACATTAATTTAATCTCATGTAACTTAACTAAATTTAATTTAATCTAATTAAATTCAGTTTAATACCATTTGTATTGCTTTATTATCTTCTTTATTATTCTTTTGAGGTAACCGAACCCTTAACGCCCCCCCCCCCTCCACACACACGCACACACACAAACACACACACAGAGAGAGAGAAAAAAAATAATAGAAATGTTCAAACATTATTTGCTTTACTTTGGCATTCATCTGAGAAAAATGTCCTCCGTTTCTGCACTCTAGCAATGTCAAGCTGTACCCTGAACGTTTCTGCAAATAAGGCAGGAAGATGTCCTTAAAAAGAAATTACCTTTTTTTTTTTTAAAGCAAAGTAACAAGACGTCCTGAAACGAATCAGTTTCTGGTATTTGCATGACCAAAAAAAAAAAAGAGTTGTCACTAGATCTAGTTCACTAGTTTTCAACAGCGCAGGTTGTCAGAAGTCTGTTCGTTTTCTTTGGCTGCAAAGTTCGGAGAGCTGGCGGTATTTCACAGGCGATAATAAGCCGGTCTTAGAGAAACTCTGCGGATTATCCT